TGTATAGCGAATTATCGCTAGTCGCATGTAACGCAGTCATTTTGTGTGTCCCGCGCGGTTTCTATTTTGTCGTGCGCGGTTTCTATTTTGTCGCTTGTCGAACGTTCGGCATGTCACAGGTGTGTGCAGCAGACCCATCAAGAACTCAAGGATGAGTTTGTGGTGAAGAACCAGAGCCTTGGTGTCAAGATTCAAGTGATCGCGAAGCTCGCAAACCTCAAGATATTGAAGATAGTTACATTACTTTGTGCAGTGTAACATTTCACTTGGTGTAGGCCCTAGTGAAGGGTAGTTTCGAGACCCTTCGTGGTTGGGGACAGTGTGGCACTGTTCCACATCACTGTACCTCGGCTCTTGGGGTTTGTAGGAGCTGGGAGTCATTCCCAACTCGTAACCCTTGCTAACTATTCCTAAGTTGTGTTCTAAGACTATGTTGCTGCCATAGTGCCCTTCGGGCCCGTCTGATGCATCAGAATTTTTGCTTTTGAGTGTCTGACGAATCAGAAATCTTAAAAAACCTTGTCAGACCAATCAATACAGAGTTACGAGTGTGCAGATGCACGTGGGAAAAAAATTGAGTCGAACTTCTCTCTCGCCTGTCACATCCATTCGAAGGGCACACAACACTCACCCTGTCATACTACATTCGCCCCGTCACACCACATTTGCCCCGTCACACCACATTCGCCCCTATTCACCACATTCGCCCTATCACAAGAGGGGTTCGCACTGCGTATAAAGATTGCAACGAGTCAACCTGTCACAGCAGTGATCCATGCACTGTCACAGGAGAGATTTCCTTCCCACCGCTGGAAATCGCGATATGCTATGTTTCGATTTCAGACAAAACAGAAAACACGTGTCTGATAGAACAGATGGAAACTAAAAACCATTTCTGCCTCATCAGACGGCATAATGCACCCATTTCTTGAAAATCAGATGAGCGAAAAAAAATCTGTCTGATTTCTCAGAAAAACAGACAAAAATGTCTGATAGCGAGGGCCCTGACTCTATCTTTCGTTTTAGGCACATTGAAGCCTACTGTGTCTATAACACAATTAAGCAAGCGCAGACTTAGTTTACGTGCACGGCTGACACAGCTTCGCAACCCCTGAAGATGAGGTTGCTGCAATAATCTAGCTGCTTCCTTAGTTCGTCCAGTTCGGGTTGGGTTACGCATATTTTTTCTCAAGCAGGTAATCGAGCTGCTTCCGTAGTTTGTCTTGTTTGGGTTGCGTCAATCGAAATTATTGGCGTACTGTCCGCTGTGCCCCCTATTTTGTAGTTGTGTAGTGATGTGCCCTCCGGCAAATCGTCTAGAAAGATCCCAATGTTTTGCTTCAACAGCGGTGCCAAGTCATCCGATACGTCAGCGAGCAGTTTTCTACAAATCACTCAGCTTGTCTTCTAGCTCGGCTTTTTGAATGCCAACCGCGTATACGCTAGCTCCTGCTGCTACGTCACGTTACATTGTAATCGCGTTGACACGCACCAACGAAGACTTAGGCGAGCTCCAGCAAGGCAGGGCGATGGTGTTACCATTCACTCGCACTGTGGAGTCACTTGTCGTCCAGTTGATTCGCATGTTGTGTCGTTGCAACCAATCATCGACCCCGTCGAGAGTTGTTGCCATACCTGGAGCCGACTTTGGTTGCGATGTATCTCGCTAGGTGTTGCTGGGCCTTACACAGTTGATTGGTTGACTCTGAGTCTAGCGGGGTGATTGCGGATTCTAATTGGAGTCGGTTACTGAGGTAGTGTAGGTGCTCAATTTTGTTTTGTACATGGTGTTTTTCCTAGCGGGAGGATCTTTTGAGACGTAGCATAAGGACATGTTTCTATTCATCCCACTTTCCCATCGAGCTGTAAAGTAGCATCGGCGTTGAGTTTGGTTGCCTATCTCCACCTAGGCTGCCCCCCCCCCCCGACAGAGCACATCTTCTTCCCTCTCCCCTCTCGAGCTGGCCAGACTGCCCCCATGAGCCTACTAGTTGGCGTTACTGCCAAGGCCTTTTGGAATGCTCGCTATGCGCATAAATCGAAAAACGACGTCTCCTAATGTTTCGTATTCGTACCATTGCTCAGTTCCTCTGGAATTCCATGTTTTTTTCAAGCGATGCTCCAAACAATCGACGAAGGAGGGGAGGGGGGAGGGGATGGGAAGCTATACGCATTTGCGTGGCTAGACAGCTATGCTTCATATCATTTGAAAAAACAAATCACCCTTCTACAGAATACTCCCCAGCAAAGCTGGTGTCTGTTCACTACGATAAGAAAGTAAAGTGTTCACCACGTACGCCAACAAGACGTTTGCTAGATTATCCATGTTCTCAGTTAGCGATTATGATCATAATATCATCTAAATCATAATCTACTAAAATCGGCCGGTAATATCATTTTTTTGTTTGTACTTTTAAGACCATTATGTGATACTAATCCTTATCCCTGCAGCCAGCTAATAGTGCCAACTGTCTGGTTTGCTTTGTAGCATGGGCTGGTTGGGAATGAGTCGTGACTGGTTTCCCCTCATTTATTAATGACCTCGTTATCAAACAAGTTCAAGATGAGGATAAGAGCAATGGACACAAATTGGCGGTGCTCGCCTGCGCAATCAACATAAAAAATGACGGGACCACAAAGGTCAGTCATGCCTTCTTGATTTCGTCAGTTAGAGTTCGTTACAGTCCGTCAGCATGGTCAGCCCGTAAAAAATCTGCCGAACCTACAATGTCGTCCGACCCAAATGAAATCTCGAGGGCCTGGTGAACACTCTCAATTTCCCCCCATTTAGGACGGCTTCATGGCATTCGGAAACGGGGAAGCGATTTCGTCCCCGGGCAACCATTCCGCCTCACGCCATCCCATCACAATTCACCATTTAACGGGGAATTGCTTTGGGATGGCGATGTGGATGGCACGCGATTCTGATGGGGGGGAAGGTGGGGATGGGGGTTCCTGATCCCGTTGCCACGTTTCCCATTTCAGGCGCGAAAGTTCACGAAGTGGCATTCAGCCCAAACCTAATCCGCGCGTTCCACCCTCAGTTCCTGATTCCACGGCCATAACAATGCCGTCAAATTTTTTTTAATTGTCTTATCCAGGGGAAAACCGCTACTGGTTACGCGCAATAAGGGCGTGGAAAATCTGGGGGAAGCCGGTACGGTTTGGAAGGTTGCCGCTCGGAAACGTACTCTAGCTTACGTAAAAAATTGCTTACCAGAAAGACCATTTTTAGCCGTTCAAAAAGTGCGGTTTGTTTAAAAAAACTCCCCAAGGTTCTACGCTGTTACGAATGCAATCGAACGAGCAAGCGAGAATTGCATTATCGAAGCAAAACAGTGCATCGAGCGAAGGAATGAATGATAACTATATAGCGAAGGCCACAGTGGTAATGGTAATGAATTGTGGGAGATGCGCGACGGGCCTGTGACTGTGGTTGGGACTGAGGTCAGGAATTGTCAGCGGAGGCCCGGAGCGTAGGTTACCAGCCGAGCTGTGAGGTTGGGTTGCGACACGCGAGGTGGTGGGAAAGTGGTCAAGGCGAGTGTCGCGAGTGGTAACGGTGCACGTGTGGTGAGAATAGCCATGTACGCGCTAAGTAGGGATGTGGTGTAAGGAATACGGGAATTTCCTTATACACGCCCTAATCCGCCTTTCAAAGTCGACATCACGGCCCAGTACCATCCCACCCCTCCGCACCACACTGTGTCGGCAAAAAAACTTCGCCATGAGAAGCACCGTCCATTCCCTTCCCTGGGTCACCTCCCTTCACCCTCCTCCTTACACCACATGCACCGAAACGTGCACAGCAGGAGCCTTCGCCCTACCCTACCCTACCCTTCGTAGGTCTAGCCTTTCGCCACCTTGGCTGGCTTCTCTCCCTCGACCTCACGCTAGAAGATGGTAGGTTTTTAGGTAAGCTCCGTTTTTGCCTGGTTTCTATTGTGTTTTGGTTGTTTTCGTGTTTCTCTGCAGCCCACAGGCAATTTGCTCAACCTATCACTGGACCAACTCCTAACCGTTCCGCAAACGCTGCCATTACAGTTTCGCGGCCCTCTCCTCAACTCTTCAACTGCCCCAGCCCTCGCGCCAGCAAGCGGTTGGTGTATCATTCTTTGCCCGGCGCTTCGCTCCTCATGCCTACGCATATTTCTCCTGAACCATGTAGCACAATTTCATTCTCCAACTCATTCTCCTCTTTTTCTTGGTTCTTGCACTTAAGTTTTCAGTCCCAAATGTTGTTTTTGCCACACAAGTTTCTTCTGCAACAAGCCCCCTGCCCAACCGATTGTCCCCCCTCCCCTGGCAGCACTTTCAAGAGCAGATACAACCGATTCCAACCAAGTCCCCCCCACCTGCTCCAATTTTCCTTGAAGTCTTCTGCTTGGCCCGGTCCCCCGAGCTGCCATGAAGGAGAGCGCTTGTGATGAGGAGTGAACCAGTGATTTGAGGAGTAAATGGGGCCAGTGACTGGAGGAGTAGGGTGGCGTGATTAAATAGTAGAGGGAGGAGGCACAGCAGGGCGGACCAGTGTAGAGGCCGAGGGGTGGTGAGGAGGGGAGGCGTTTGGCTGATGGACCGAGTCGCGAAGAGAGGGCCAAGCGTGGAAGGCGAAAGGGCGGGCTACACTTAACAAGGAGCTGTAACTGCGCTAGGGCGAATCGCGGAGGGAGACGAGGAGGGAGCCAGAGGCAGTTATACAGCATGGGGGGGAGTGAAATGTCAAAGGTGGGAGCACATAGGCAGAGGCCACAGCGACACCAAAAAGCAGACTGGGAGCCTAAGCGGCATCCCGAGTCGCTGCGCCATGAAGGCAGTAAGACGATCCCACTGACGACCTCCCGCTTGAGGATCTCGGAGGCGACGACTCTCCTGCCGCCAAGAAGCCTTGTGTTGCCACGGCTGGGTCTGATGATGGTAACCCTGGGACCTCCGCGGCCAAGTTGGCGGCACCGGCCCCCCTTGCGAGCAATGCATCAGCCCCGCAGCAGGGGCAGAACATGTCTGCGCAGCCTGTGACCAACCCCCAGGCGCAAGTCAACCAGCCCCTCTCCATGCCCGCTTCCCCTAGCCCCAAGCCTGCCATGGCTCCCCCGATGGCCTCCCCGCCTACTCTGCCGGTTCGCACGACGAGGGCTGTCCCTGTGTCGGCGGTGGAGCAGCCCCCACCTCCCCGCCCCCTTCGCCACCCTCGTTTGGCCGCTGCGGGCCCGGCTTCTCTTCCCCGCCGCCGTTGGGCGGTCGTCACCCTTCTGCTGCAGGAAGCTGGGGTTGACGCGAATCGGGCAGATATTCTGGTCCGGCTGTCCGCCTGCTCAGGGGACACATGTTCCCGAATGGAACCATTCCTCCCTACGAGGCTACGCCTGGCGAGGCTCTCCAGGTCCCGCGACGCTCGTATGCCCGGCTGTTGTTATCCTGGCCCTCTGCTGATGTCGCTGTGGCCTTCCGCTGCCTCTTCCCGCTCTCCCTAAGGCTCGCCTCAGCCCGGACCGTCCTGCTGAAGGCGTATGATGACCCTCATCCCGAGTTTACCGCTTCTAAGGCTAACGGAACGACCACGCTCTCTGTCCGCAACGTCCCCATCAGTTATGACCCGGATGACATCAAGGAGTTCCTACTTGACGCCACGACGGAGGATGGCGTGCCATGGCTTGAGAATCTCCACCACTTCCACCGGGTTTCGGACCCCTTCGAGGTCACGATCATGGATGGCATTCCGATACCATGCCCCGACGACCCCAACTTCAAGCGCATTCTGGCGTCCATCCCGCTGGAGGAAGGAGGCTTGCCCATGTTGCTCAACTTCTCTTCTCATCCGTGCACCTTCTGTGCGAGCAATCACCAGGATGCGGATCGTGAGTCCTTTGCGGCTCGCCGTAGGCAACACCTCACCAACAAACAAACTATCTCGGTTGGCCAGCTCCAGCAAACCAATGGTGTGTCCTGCTATACCATTTCATATCATCTCTGCATTACTCTGGTCCCTTGTCCTCCCACCCACACCGACTCATCCCCCCCCTTGAGTCAAACAGTCGTGCCTCTTCTTCTTCTTCATTGTCCCCTCTTACACTTGCTTCATCTTCTCCACCCAGGCCTCCTAGCACTCCCCATACCCAAAATTGCTCCCCTGCCCCCCACTTCTAGCTTTGACCTGTACTGAGGGCGCGATCAGTTCATGCCAATGAGTCCCTCCTCCCCCTTTCGTATGAGGCGTTGGACTCCCTGCCCGTGCTCTCTCCTCCCATCTGCCACACTTCTAAGATTCTCCCTGCTTTTCCAGCCCCCCCCCGCTGTTACTCCTCTGCTCCATGTAGCTTTCACCCCTCCTCTCGCACCCCACTGTCCATCGTGCTCTGTCCAGCCTTCCTTGCCGCCCCTGGGTTCAGAGATTTTCCAGCAACCTTTCTTGTATTCTCTGCCCCTCGTAATCTCCCCCGCTCTCTATCCCCTCAGACCTCAACAATGTGCTTCTGCCCTGGGCTTTAAACTGCATCCCTACCTGATCTTACTCGTCCTCTCTATACTTTCCTTGCATACCCACCTCCCGCAAGCGTTGCTGCCTTTAATTCTTTATAACACTCCATCCATGCTTTCGTCTGGGCATTGTGGCTCCCCCAAATGCCCCCTCTCCTTTTGTACCACCCATCCCTCCGTGTTTGCTCCTTGTACCCTAGTACCAACCTATGGCAGGCCAGATCCTTGGCGCTCATGCTGTGCCAGTGTCGTTCTGCAACGACCCTGGCTTGCTCTTCATTGGGCTCGATTCCCTCGCCGAACCCTATACCTGCGTCCTCTGCGATTTCTGCTGCGGAAAGGCCCTCGACAGTGCTATGTCTCACATGGCCTCTGGTCCACATGCTGCGCAGCTGCGCACCACCTCCCACCTCCCTCCGGCCAAGGAAAAGTACAGCACTTGGCGTGCTTTAACCCTGCTCGAGCAGCCGTGCATTGCAGCCTTCCTGCATGCCTGAAATCAAGGAAATCTGCAGCATGGGACTCATGGACTCGTTCACTACTTGGCTCTGGAATTTTGCTTCATCTCGCTAGTTTCCCCCCTATCGCCTTTTCTTTGAGTCCGCACCACAACCTGTGCGGGTCTCTCTTTCCCCGTGGATCCGCACTACAACCAGTGTGGGGGGGCTTATGCTTGCCAACATGAAAACCTTTCTTTGCATTCTTACGCTTAATGTTAATGGGATCAATCATCCTTATAAACTGAATTGTCTCAAATATTGGATCTCCTCTCAACTTGTTAAAACTGATATTCTTGTTCTCATTGGCACACGCCTTTCAAAGAATCTACCCAAGCTACAACTTTCTTTTCGCCCTGCAGCGCACTCACACGCCGCCTCTCCATCTACCTCGTCACATCTTTCCCCCCGTGGAATCTCTGTTTTAGTATTTCGTAAGGATATTACTATTTCCTCACATGAACCATCGCCGAATGGGAGGCTTCTTGTTGTCCACCTAAATCACTGCAATGAACAATTTCGGTTACTAGCCCTATACGCACCAGTCTCGACGCTAGAACGACGCTGCTGGTGGCACCCTCTCCCCGGCCCTGGCGGCAACTTCAGCCGCCCCCTTTACCGTCGTTGTGGGGGATTTTAACTCAGTCGGCTCCGGGGCTGATCGTAATCGGGCTCTTCATGGCTTTGAACGTAGTGAGGCGTCCTTATTCTCTACCCTCATGTCGCAACACTCCCTTGTGGATGCCTTCCGTGTCCTGCATCCCAATGCTACCCTCTTTTCCTACTTTGGTCGCTCTCGCATCACCCCAGGCTCATCCTCACCCCTTCCCGCCGCTCCTCTTGATCGTGTATATATATCCGCGTCGCTGCAACCCCGCCTTGCCGCATCCCCCTATCTTCTCATTCCTTCTGGTGTTTCTGATCATGCTCTTGCCCCGCTCTGCTCTCTCCTCTTTGACAACCCTGCCGCCGTACCTCGCTCGAGGCGCCTCAGCACATCACTGCTAGCCCGCCCCAACATCTCACGTATCATCGATGAGCATATCTGTTTCCTCCCCTCCTCCTTATCCCCCATCGACTGGGACCTGTGGAAATTCCACCTTTGCCTCGCTCTGAAGCGTTTTTCCTCTCTAGAACGACACCGTGCGGACAAGACCATCGTGCATCTTTGTTACTTAATCTGTTCATTACAACACCAAGCCTCCTCTTGTCCCCCTGACCCCTCTGTCACAGTACCGCTCCTTCGAGCCAAACAACAACTTGCAGCATATGAAACCACCAAGATATCCGAAGTTGCTCTGAAAGCAAAGCTGAAAGTTGAATTCCATCGGGAAATGGGTCTATCGTCTCTCCTTGTTGGGCTTGGCTGCCGTACCTGTGAAGAAATGAGGAATGAATGAACTAGCAAGCAGGTGGGTACAAGTAGGAAAACCTAAAAGTGTTGTACCCCATATTGTCTACCCCACTACAGCCTACACAGACTATAGCATATGAGTTTGACACACCCCCATAGGCAAAGTGGGGGAGAACAAGAGGTCAAAAGATCAGTCAAGCAAAGCAAAGCAAGCTCAGGGTGCATCACAACGTCACCACACATTCCGAGCACAAGTTCAAGGCCACAAGGCCAATTCACATGCAAGATCATATATAAAGGTAAACAAGCAAGTGCAGGTATAGAAATATCACAGTACAAGCAAGGTCAAGAAGTGAGCAAGTGAGGCCAAGTAGGCACAAGACCTAGCATCGTACAGAAGCGCTGATGATCACAAGGCGGAAGTGCCTTGGTAAAGATATCAGCAGTGTTGGCCTGAGAGGCCACGTAAGCAAGGCGCAGCTGACCACGCTGCTGCAGCTCGCGAGCAAGGAAGTAGCGAAGAGCAATGTGCTTCGTTCTGTGCTCCAGTCTGTGCTCCCAACACAAGGCCAGCATGGCCTTGTTGTCTACGTACAGAACTGGAGGAGAACGAGGCGGCTCTCCTAGGTCAGTCAGCAAGTAGGTGAGCCAGCGTAGCTCCTATGCAGCCATGGCCCCCGCGTAGATCTCAGCCTCACAGCTGGAGCCGAGAACAGAAGACGAGCGGGTAGACCGCCACGAAACAGAGCCGGAACCAAGGCTGAAGGTGTAACCCTGTGACGACCGCTGCGTAGCCTGGTCGTCAGCCCAAGAAGCGTCTGCGTGACCTGTGAGGACCGGTGGACGTCACCCTCCAAGCACTAGCCCCATGCCCGACGTACTGCACACGTAGCGCAACACCCTCTTCGCTGCAGCCATGTGCTCTGGTCGGTGTCTCCCAGGAGCAACATAGCGTGCCAAGATGCTAAGAGGGTATGCAAGGTCAGGTCGTGTGCAGGTCATCAGGTACATGAGGCAGCCAACAAGCTTTGGGTACAGGCCACTCGGCTCTACGGACTCATCCGAAGGCAGAGCTGAGAGCGAGTGGCGAGTAGACAGAGGAGTGGCCCGAGGCGAGGAGTACGTGAAGTCGAAGCGCTGAAGGACCTGCTGCACCATGTGTGACTAAGTCAGGGTAATGGTGTGCTGTGCTCTGTCCCGGGTGATCTGCGAGCCAAGGTAGCTGCGTAGTTCACCCAGGTCTGTGCACGTGTGTCTCTTCTGCAGCTCGGACTTCACGTGGGCGAGTCCAGCAGTGTGAGCTGTGGCAAAGACCGAGTCGTCGACGTACACGAGGATGTAGAATGGTGGCAAAGAGGTGTCGGTGCGCAGAAACAGCGACGGGTCGGCAGTAGAAGGAGCAAACCCAAGAGCCGCAAGTGTAGTCCTCAGTGTGTCGTGCCACTCACGGGGCGCCTGGCGGAGACCGTAGACTGGCCGCCGGAGGCTCCACTGGGTACCAGGAGGAAACGACCCAGTGAAGCCAGGTGGGCGGCGCAGCCAGATCTCCTCGTGCAGGCTGCCCTGCAGAAAAGCTGTGCTGAAGTCAAGAGAGTGAAGCTCGTAGTCGCGCTGAGCGGCTATGTGCAGCAGCACCTAAAGAGTGGTCATCTTCGGGGTGGGAGAGAAGGTCTGAAAGTAGTCAACTCCCTGCCGCTGACTGAAGCCTCGAGCCACGTAACGCGCCTTGAAGACAGGCGGAGAACCCGGCGGCCGCTTCACCCTGAAAATCCACATGCCACTGACGATGTTCGCCCCAGGTGGGGGAACCTCGTCGCCGTAGGTGCCTGTGGACTTCCAGGAAGCCATCTCTGCGTCCATGGCTGACTGCCACTGTGAGGAGTAGGGACCCTCGATCGCCTCAGCGTAAGATCGAGGAGTCGGGATGTCTGGTGCATCCGGGTCTCCCTCAAGGGAAATCAGCGTGGACACGAGATGAGGCAAAGCAGCAGCAAAACACTGGAACTGCCTGTCCTCAAGGACGTCCGTGCTAAGAGCACACTCACCCCCGACGGACGGAGGACGGACAGACTCAAACTCAGCAAGAGACTAGCGGCGTAGTCGAGACGACAGCGAGCAGCAAAGTCGACAAGCTCAGCAACTAAGGCAGACGCAGCAGTGGACTCAAAGGAAGGGTCAGTGACAATAGTAGCCAGGAGACGCGTGACAGTAGGACTGGCAGCACGAAGAGAGTCAGACTCCGGGTCAGCAAGAACAGGAAGAGAGGACTCTGGAGGAGACGGCAACGGGACACGCAGAGGAGCAGTGGAAGGACGCAGTGCCATCTGGTGTGTGCCTGGGACCGCAAGAGGACGCGGACGCGGAGCACGACTACTAGTGCGAGGAGCACGAACAGGCGACGCAGGACAAGACGCGGGCTCACGACGCTCAGCAAGACCTCCAGTAGGACCAGTGTAGGGAGAAGGAGCAGGTAGGGGGGAGGCGGGCTGTAACTGTGACCGTGACTGGAAAGGCTGTGGACACTCTAAGGGAGGAGCAGGACCAGTAGAGGGCGGGAGACCAAGAACCTGCTCAAGGAGCGGAATGAAGTACGGCCGCGGCCGCGCAGCGCCTCCAGAACCAGCAGGGACAGCACCAGTACCCCCAGCGGCAGCACCAGCGCCAGCAGCACCTCCAGCTCCAACATCGCCAACTCCAGCACCCTCAGAAGCACCAGCGCCAGCAGCACCTCCAGCGCCAACACCCCCAGCTGCTCCAGCTCCAGCAGCTCCAGCTCGAGCAGGACCGTCAGCTGCAGTACCGCCAGTAGCTCCTGCAGTTCCTCCAGCAGGACCAACTCCAGTAGCCCTAGCAGCACCCCCAGTCCCAGCAGCTCCAGTAATACTGGTACGAGCACCTCCAGGACCAGCAGCAACAGTAGCACCTCCAGCTCTAGCAGCACGGCTCCAGCGCCGGGCAAACCACTCGCGCAGCTCCTGCGGAGAGGGTAGCTCCCGCCTCGACGAAGCACCGCAAGAGGCCACACGTGTGAGGATCTGGGATCGAGCTCAGAAAAGATGATTCAAATTGAATTGAATGATCACCTGGGTACAACACGAGGCTATATATAGGCTCGACACAAGGCCCCGTAACCAGGTGTTACGCGAAGGTTCCGCGGGTCGCGAAGCGTCCCGAACAGATCCTTACCGAATTCGGTAGAAGGCAATTCGGTGGCAACCGAAAAGCCAGAATTCGGTGCACGCAACCTAGCTCGGTGCTATAACTATAATAAAATATAGGAAAGCACCTAGCCTAGGAAATCAAGCAATTCATGCATGCATATGATTATCCTATGCTAGAAATAGCATGATAAAGTAAAGGCAAGCAAGCATAGCTGGCATAAGCCGTCGTACTCTCACACGTCCCCCCCTCAAAGCTGGGTGGCGTGAGATACACCCTGCTTGACAAGATAGTCCTTGAGAGCACGGCGTGCGTTGCCCATATCAGCTTCTGCAACCCAACTGTCCTCAGTGGGGTCGTATCCCTTCCAGCGTATCAGGAACTCGAGGGTCTTGCCGCCGCGGCGCCGATGAGCGAGAATGCGCTCGATCTCGTACTCGGGTTCATCCTGCACAAGAACAGGTGGTGGTGGCGGTAGCCGCCGTCC